ATCCATGATATTAATACACTCTTCATTTCAATGTTTGAGGGAAGCCCAGGCTTTTTGCAGTTAAAGCCTTAAAATTTATTTTTTTCCTGTAAACTTTACAGGAAGGGAAACCCAAAGTGCCTTTATATATGAACAGCTTGTCTTCTGAGAGGCTGAAAAACCTTTTTGCAGCATCCCCCAGTTCAATTTATGTGGTTGCATTTGGAAAGCAAGTCAAGGTAAGTGTTCATTGTATGTGCTGAAAGGAAAGGCTTTTTCCTCCTAATTTAGTGGAGAAATAGCATTTCTGTACCAGGAGAGACCAACAATATGTTGCTTCCACCTTCTACCCACCTGCAGAGGAACCTCTCTGGGGAAGCAGGTGGAGATGTGGCACTTTCTCCAGGCCTCCTCCTCCCATGGAGTTAAAAACTCTCCAGGCCTTCTCCTCCTCCCTGGAGTTAAATCCAGTAATGCCAGTTTACACAAACCCTCCTGAGCTCCTGTGCTGCATCACTCCCACGTGATGATACTGGGATGCAGGGCATGAGGTAACAATTCCCAGGGCACACACCTTTGGGTGTGTGAAGCTGCTCATATTTGAAACATCCAGTTCTCTCTCCACACCTCAGAAGATGGTTTTTTAATGGCTCTTATAAAATGCTGCTGCTGTAGCAGGACAATACTCACGTGCTTCTGCCTTGCTCCCAGAAACCACAAGATGAAAATCGTCTTTATGTGCCCTCTTTGTTCACAACAAATTCATCCTCAGTCACCTAAGGATTGATTAGAGTAGATAAACAAACCAGCTGTGACTAGAATAATTTCCTTTGCTGTTCCTTTGCCTTTCAAATTGTAAAGAAAACTTCTATAGAAGTTCCTGCAATACTTATTTTTTCTTAAAATCAGATTTTTGTGATGCATGTGTTGATCACAGGCAGCCTGTGGCAGGGACTGTGTAATTTCTGGGTTTAATTTTAGAATTAACTTGAAGTAAGGGTGATCATACACCATTCTGGGCACTCAGAGGTGTCTTCTAACTTGTTCTTTTAAATCTTCTCTTTTCAATGGTCCTTTCTGTGGAGGAGGCAGTCAGAGAAAATGGTGCAGAACCAGTAAGTAAAACTCCTCCTCTATTTACCTTTGCTCTAAGACAGTTAATTAGGGATGGGGAGTCATCCCTCCTGTTTCTCTCATGGTTAGGAATGCATTCATCTTGCTCCCTTCCCATTTATCTGTAATTCACTCTTCTATCAAGGGCTCCATATTGTTGCACTGAAGATACTGGTAATTACTGAGGGTTTTAATCTGTCAGCTGGAACTCCTCAAAGAGGGTTTGGATATTGAAACTGCAATCAGATCACACTGGAAGTTCTGAGGAAAAGCTGAATAGTAAAGTATTTCTGGTCCTTTTAAGTGCCATTCCCATGGTGATGGGTGTGGCATAATAACCTAGATTAGAGCTTAAAATGAATGAGTAATAAAATCTGTCATGAGGTGGGTATAGTGTGAGGAGGCATCACTCAAATTTTCCCACAAATCCCTGTTAGCATAGTCCTGGTGTTTACAGCATTTGGAACAGCATAAGTGTTTAAAAACGCTCATGCACATCTAAAAAATTAAATCTGCCAAATATTCTGGGTATCAGGTGGGAAGTTGTCTCTTAAAAAGCTTCAAATTTTTAACTTGCATTTTTACAACCTAATTCTCAGTGCTTAAAACATTATGAGAAGAGAACTAGCTGAGATTCTAGAAGAGATCTGAAAGATGTGTTAGCTGCTAAAAATAACTATTTGCCTGCAAACTCTTAAGGCAGCATAGCTGGGGATGAAAAAAAAAAAAAAGGGAAAAACGAAGAGGAGGAAAAAGCTCCGATATAATTAAAGTGTTCCACATGCCTTGGTAGTTGCCATGGAACTCGTAGTACCTCCAGTCTGCAGCAGGGCTGTGGTGCTGCCTCTGGGAAGTAAAAATGCCACTGGAGATTGATGCTGTTCCATAGAATCCAGTCACAGCCCCATTTTGGGGGTGGCAGAGGGTGAGTCAGAGGTAGGAACTGGTCGTGATCCCTGAAGAAGCTTAAAAACAGGATGGGTTAAATGACATGGTAATTACTGAGTGACAATTGGGCACTTCCTAAACTTTAGTTAACTACAGGCAGCAAAGATGTTACATAAGATTTCTTTACAGTGTATATTTATATGACTGAATAAACGTTTATTTATCCTTTCTTTAGAATTCATCACTCGATAGGAGCAAAATCCTTCTGCTTTGCTTCTCTGTAGGTGAGAATTCAGCTTTTGTTGGTATTTCCATAAGTGGTAGAATGATTTGCATAGTCCCTCTTTATTGACAAACTGGGTTCTCAGTTATCTGTGCCATGAAACACATCAAGATGAACGTTATTGTTAGTTTAAGCATCTTGTTTAAACCACCATGCAGAAAGGAGTCTCTTTTCGTTAGTTTAAATACTGTTTTCTGTTGTTTTACCCACACTGGGTAGAACAAACAATGCAAAATTGGATGAAAGCTTGTCCTGTGTAACAACAACAAAGAACGTGGGTTTGAAGAGCTTTTTTGTGCTGCTGCTGGTTGGTGTGGCTGATGTAGGGAGGGAGGCCAGTGAGTTCATGGGGTGGGTTGACCTTGGCTGGACACCAGGTGCCCACCAAAGCCACTCCATCAGTGCCCTCTGCAACTGGACAGAGGAGCCACCCCTGTGTCCCCCCCAGCTACCAAAACCTGGCCACACAAACCCAACACAGCACATCAGGAGTGGGAACACTTGCAGCCTTTACGGAAAAGAAACTCCAGAAAATAGCAGAGCAAGTTCCTTTGCTGGGATTTTTGAAGCAGCACTTCTGTGATTAAAAAAAAAAAGAAAAAGAAAAAGAAAAAGCAATTAGCTGCTTTTTCTGTAGCAGATGTGACCATCAGTTCTGTAGAGGAGCTGCCAGATGTACATATTGAAGAGTTCATCCAGATGAAATAAAAATCCTGTACTCAAAATCTTCCCACTTGGGTGGATACATCCCACTGAATAGAAAAATGGATTTCATAAGTCAAGAGATCTTTAAATGCAGTTCTTAAGGAACAACATTTCAGTGATTCAGAAAGCTTCAATGATTTTGGACCCTTCAGAAATCTGAAAAAGGACAGAAACAATTGCAACTGGTGTTCCCATTACTGAAGAGAACAATTTTCATTCTAAAGTGAGCCTTGTACTTGTGGCCAGGATGCCAGCAGTTATGTCAGCATCCTGAATTTCCCTGGAGCATCCAGCAATTCCTGTTCCATAGAGGTAGGAAAATGCCTATATATTATGTGTTGACTGATCTGATCACGCAGAACAGAAAATAAGAGCCACTAGGACTGGAATCAAAGATATTCCAGCTTTTGATCATATTTAATCCTTTATAGGACTGTGGTTTATAATACCAGCATCTTTTTTATAATGATTCCTCCAAATTGGCTGTGACCTACTGGTACAGAGGGGCTCCCAACCATCCCTAATTGGGATGAACTAAGTTACAGTTGCTCTGAAGCTACTTTTTCATGGCCTTACAAGGGAGCAAAGAGAGTTACTTACACATTTGAACCATATTTTTTTATTTCACCACAGTTACTGCTTCCACTTTATTACAAGTTCTAAATAACAGCACGAAGGTTATAACTCTTTGCTTCCATCTTCAACAACAAGCTGACTTGTTGCTGTGCTCTGTTCTGGATACATGAGTCTAAAATTGCTTACAAAATTTTAATGCTGTGCACTGAACTGCAAATGCTTGAAATGGACTTACACAGTGACAAATTACCTGAGAGACAAAAAACTCAAATTAATGATGGAAAATTATGGCAAGCACAAAGGTTCACCCCCGTGGCTCTCAAACCAGCAAATATTTTGGGCAAGTTCTGTAAAGTTAGTCTGACTGTCCAGTTCTAATTGCAGTTTTGTGTTAGGGGTTATTTCCATAGCCAGTGGCTGGATGGTCATTTTTAAAAATGCAGTTCTTTGCTGGCTCTGCACTTCTAGAGACAACCCAATATTTAAATCCTGAAGTCTTTATTCAGCAAAACTTTTATCAAATTTTGCAGGGAGAAAGAGGGGTGGCTGTACATGGATTCCAGTATCTGTTTCACCATCTAATGGCCACAGCAAGAGATTCTATTTAACATTTAGGAAGTGAAATTCTAGCAAACATTGCTAAATGCTGATGTAGTTGAAACCCATTATTTGGAGGACTGTGTCACACCATTCTGTGCTTTACTGTGCTGGGTCAGTGCCAGAGAGCGAAGCCAAAATGAGACACAAATTGCAATGAGTCCCCAGCCATGGAACTGCTTTCTCATCACCCTTTTGTTCGAATGGCATCATGCAGAAACCCAGCGAGCTCTCAGGCTGCAAACTGGGGTTTGCTTTGTGGTGAATTCGGCAGGGACGGGCCAGCCCTGGCTGGGCTCTCCTGTTTGGAGGAGGTGAAAACCAGCTCCTGTTTGGAGCGGAGCTGTTTGATTCAGCCTTGAAAATCGGCGTGAAATGGGTGCTGATGGTTTTGGAGCTGCTGCTCCAGCTGTTTAAACTTCAGCAGCGGGATAACGCCAGGTTCCAATGTGTTGCTTCACAAACACAATGAAAACACGAAAGGAAGAGAAGGGACGACAGATCTCTGGATGGCAAATTCCCGGGCGTCAAAAGGACAAAAGGAAAATGGAGAGAAGCAGCAGACAGTGAAGTTATTCACCCACCAGAGCTCTGCGCTTCACACCTCCCTGTCTGTGCCCACCCTCTCTCCTCCTCCCACCCAGCCTGGCGGTGCCGCAGCGCTCCCCGGGCGGGGGGTCCGGACCGCCGAGCCTTTTCCCCGCTCCGAGAGCCAGGGCCGGGCAGAGCCGCTTTTTCCCCCGGGCGAAACAAAGCGGGGGCGGACAAAGGGCCAGCGGAGGGGCCGCGGGGGGATCGCGGCCGCGCCGCCGGGCTGCCGCTGCTGCTGCAGTCCCCGCCCCGGCGGGCGGCAGACGTTGTGCCCGCCCGCTCCGCCTCCTGCGAGCCGGGGCGGCGCCGCTGCAGAAGGGGGCCGGGGAAGGAGCAGGAGCCGGGGCAGGAGGAGAAGGAGACGGTGGAAGGAGGGTGCCCGGCGCTGGCGGGGTGAGGCGAGCGGCGGCGGGGCGGGGGGAGGCCGCCGGTGGGACGGCGCGGGCGGCGGCGGTGTGAGGGCGGTTGAGGGCGGGGGGAGCCGCCGCCCCTCCGCCCTGGGGCCTCCCGCGCTTCCCGTCCGGGCGCCACGGCGGGCGGGGCGGGGCGGGTCGGAGGGGACGCGACTCGGCGCTGAGGGAGCCCTGGGGGCTCTGAGGGGCCGGGCGGGGCGGGCCGAGGGCTGTTGAGCGGCGCCACACGTGCTGTGCGCCCGGGCCGCCCGCCGGGTCCGAGCCCAGCGCCGGGGCTCGCCCGCCTTCACCCCCATCAGCCCCCGGCGGGACGGGGCCCCGGCAAGGTGCGGAGCGGCGTCCCGGGCGGGGCTGGAGCCTTCCCGGCCTCGCCCCCCGCCGCCTCCGGTGGGCTGTGAGGGGCAGGTGGGACACGAGGGGCTGCGCGCCCTGCTCGGGGCTCGCCCTTGGAAACTGCGGCGCTGTGTCTGGTTCTTGGCGGTGTGAGCGGGTGATTCTGGGGAGGAGAGGTGTGAATATTCCTTCTGTTCCTCGGTAAATGCTGACCTGCAATTCCCAGCATCCTGCACTTACATCCTGATATTTCACTGATGAACGATTTGCCTTATAATTTACCTTGGTTTTTTTATTTGTTTGGTTTTGTTCTCTGCCCGCTCCCCATCCTTGTGTTGCTGCCAAAGCTCCTGATTTCCAGGTGAGCTGCCCTTGTATCCCCCCAGGTGGCTCAGCAGAGTTCGCTGCCATGTTCTAGCCAGCGTTAGAGCTGCGGGATTCCCGGGAACAGGCGCTGCTCCAGGCCCCTCCTGCTTCCCGCTATAGCACTCGAGCTGCTTCCTCAGGCCATGCAGTGCTCCCTTTTCTGTGCCACAGCAATGGGGCACAAGGTAATTGCTGCTGTTACTCACATGGTAATGTGGCTCCTGCTGCATGAAAATCAGCAGCGAGTTTTCCCTTTCATCCTGACATCTTTGTTCTGATCTTGTGGTTTAAATAATTTTTAAAAATATAAACAAACAGAAGCCAACACCACAAGAATGTCTTCCAAAGGGAGGAAAATTTAGTCTGGGATTGTATATCTTTGAAAATATGATTGTGAAATGAAGACTTGTCCCTCCCCACCCCTTCACTTACTCCGTGTGCTGCATGGGCAGGGTTTTATGGAAGTTCACAGGTTGCTTTGAGATCTTTGAGCAGAAGGATTTTCAAACATGTGATACCTGTGTTGACAAGTAGGAAGAAGAAAGGAAAGAGGTGCAAAAGAGGAAATGCCTTTCTGGTGGCTGCTTTGCAAAGAAAGAGCAGAAATATGGGTGTAATTCTGAAACCAGCAACGACAGAGAGAGGTTTTTGTGACGTGTGTGTCTGTGTGCACCTGCTGCAACATGTAGGGAGACAGCAAAGCAAATACCTCCCCTCCACCCAACAGCAGCATAGCCTAGTCTGAGGAATGTGTAACTGCTCAGGTACAAAACCTCTTCATTTACATGCTGAGGATTGTGAGTTCTTGGTGTCAAATGGTGAGATTTTAAGGTTCTCTTCCAGCCCATACGTGCTGGAATGTTTTCTGTCTGTGCTGAAGTGCACTAAAGCTTTGTATGTATTGGAGGGAGAGGGATGAGTTGGCTGGAACAGAAAAGCTTGGAAATGTGACCTCAAATGTCTGTATCTTTAGGGATCAAGAGGGAGATTTTATTTGGCGGAAGAAATAGTTTTATGTAATTTTTATGGTTTCTCTTAAAGAGAAGAACTCAGCTTTCTAGTGAGGGCAGAAAAGCAGCTGTCTTGTATCCTCATCCCAGATGTATCCTGTAGGGAATAACAGCCTCTTTCCTCATGTGATTATACTGTAGGAAGGAGGAGAGCTCTGTGCTGATTGCTATGACTTCCTAGAGCTCCTGGAGATTTCCTGAGTTACAGTTGTAGCTCTTTACCATCTTCTGAATGTGTGAATATTCCTGGGTAAATACTTGCCTTTATTTACTCAGCTTGGGCAGATTGTATAACTCCTTTAGTGTTCTTCCCTTTATCCTTTTAGCCCTGTTAAAATTTTTCTTGGGAGGGACTGAGACCATTTCAAAACAGATCCTCCTTAAAAAGCAGCAGAGTGATCTGCCTTGCCAATATGATTTTTCAGAACTGCTTTTCTAAAACACTGGGGTCAAATGTTAGCTCTGTATGTTGAATGCAAGTTTTCTAATGTTTGAACATGACGACCATGAATGAATGCAGCTCTTGTTGAATCCTTTGGCATTCCCTGGGGACTGCTGGCTCTGCTGGCACGTATGAAAAGTAACTCGCCGGAATCCTTATTGGAGCAGCATGTTTGGAAATGCCTCAGCTGGCTGGTGCTTTGTTATTTAATGAAAGGCAATTATATATTGCATTAGCTGTAATCTCAGCTCCAGTTTCTGCAGGAGCAACCATTTCATTCTGGACCAGCAGAACTCTGGCAGCAGCTCCCTGATGATTCAAACACCTCCTGCCGTGTCAGTGCTTGTCCAGGTGTGTGTCCTCCACACACTTTTATTTTTGCAGTGATGTTGCTCTCGTGTGCCTGACCCTTCCAAATACCCCCAGATCTGGGATCTGGCTCCAGGCCTCCCAAAGGCTGCAAAGGATTTAGAAGATGGATCTCAGAACAGGCTGTACAAGTTTCTACTTTAACACCCACCAGAGTTTTTCCACCTGGAGTGTCTCATCAATTGTTTGTACAAACTCAGACAGAAGACTCTTCGGTGAATAGAATACATTCTATTAATTCATAAGACTCTACTGATTCCAGAAGAAACACCATTGAAAGCTATTCATTGCCCTGATCTTTATAATCTTACTGTGTATATTTTTAACTTATTATGAGAGGAAATTGCAAGGCAAAGAGAGGAACTCAGTATTTTATAGAATTAGCTTATTTGACATTCTCATTCTGCTGCTCTCCTTGGCAGCAGCATCCACTCAATCACAGCAATATTTATCTAAGTTCTGAATTTGGGCTTGTACTTTGTTCTGTGCCAGCCCCACAACAGTCATGGTGCTAATTTAAAAGGCTCAGAACATGGGGAGCTAAAAAGGGACTGCTGACTTGATGCTTTCCCCGAGTGTGAAACAGTTACAGTTTCACCCAAGTCTATCAAAATGAAATCCTTACTATAAAAAGCAGCATCTTTGTTTCAGCTGCTTCAGTTGTAATTGTATTAAGGAGAAGCCTTTGTGTCTTTCAGTGCTTTGGGGTTTGAGGCTGACAGGAGGTGGTATTTTCCTTCTCAAGAGTTTCATTTGAACTTTAGATCCCAAATAACTTAAACTTGAGGCTCTGCTATTCCAAAATCATCATTTTATTGTGACTGAGACTGTAAAGTGATCGTTTTATTAAAGCACTCACTGAGGTGGTTGAAGTGTTTTGTCACCATCAGAAGTCAGTGTGAACAGTCAAATTGCTCTTGTTATTATCAAAATGGAGGATTTTTGGGAAAGGTAAGAATTCCCTTGGAAAAATGTAGGAAAGATAGTCATGATAATGGGCTTATAAGATTATAAGGTGGTAATTATTTACTTTCTCAGTTGCAAACTTTTTCTACTCCTCAGTCCTTGACTCATTCTGTAGGGAATGATGTGCTGAGGAGGATCATGTGCTTTCTGATCTTTTAATAGACCATAGCAGCGATGTTTTTATAATCCATGTGTTCAGTGGCAACTTGAAGTGTTAGAGTTTGCATCATATTAACAGCCATCAGCTCTTCCTGATTAATTAAAGATGGCAGGAATCATTTTAAAGCAACTGAACAGACCGTGTTTGAAATAGCAATAGACTGAGAAAAAATTACCTGCAAATTGCCAGCCCAAAATAGGGGTTTTTTTGCTTTGTATTCAGCAGTCTTCACCTTCCAGTGGCTTATTTTTTTACTGAGGATCTGGAGGCATTTAGGAATGTGACTGAGCAGAGCAGGTTCTGGAATGATAAGGTGAGGTGACTTAAAATGTCCTTGATGCAGAATTAAAATGCACAGGCAGAGCAGAAGGTTTGATGAATTACCTTCCTCACAGCATTGCTGTAATATCTGACTGATGCTTTCAGCTCCTAAGCCTCTTACTATCTTTGATCTGATTCAGCTGCTTCTTAGTGCAGTTTCTTACTTACAGGAATTTGCCCCTCCTTCCCCCTTTCCCAGGCATGTGCTGGGAGGATCCTGTTTATACAATTTGCAGCAAATATCCTGCACTTCCCAAGGTAGAAAAAGAGCCATGTGTCTTATTTACCAACTTAGTGATGTCCCTAAAACCTTCTCATTTTCAGTGGATTTGGGTCTCAATAATGGTTGCCTTCCTGACTGTATTATATTTAAATTTTGTATTATCTCCAAACAAACTGATAAAACCTGCTGCTGCCAAATGTATTGACAGCAATACTCTGGTTTTTCATGTTACTTCAGAAATTAGTTGGTCTGGTCTAAAGTCTGGGAGAAACTCAAGGCTATTTGAACACGAGTCTCTCTCCTCCTAGTTCACTTACTTCTGTAAAACTTGCAGGAATGTTATGTATTTTTTTTAAAGATCTCCTGCCTTTTATTTTATTTAGTTGAAGTTATCCCAGCAGGTTCAAAATCGAAGCAGAAATACAGATTTGTGGGCAGGCCTGGCTTCCCTAAGTCTGATGTTAAAAGATACTCTAAAAGTCTTTGGTCCTGAGTATAATATGGATCTTTGAACTAATATGGAAAACAGTTCAAGCCATCTCCATGGTAGATAAATACAATATCTGCTGTTGATCTCAGTTAAGAAACAAATCTAAAGTTGCTGGTTGAGCTGTGGGTTCCCATGTCCGTAATGAGGGACAGTGTTTGGGGGGTTTGGATTGATTCCCAAACATTCTTCCCCAGCCCCTCTCAGTGCACAAGGCAGGAGGAGTGTCCTGTGAGTTCTTAAGGAAGCAGGATTGACTCTCAGAAGGCACAGAAGCCCAGGAGCTGTTTGTGGGGTGTCCTC